TCTTAATTCACAGAAATCTGATATGATCATCCTCTTAACTAGCTATTCGTCCATTTAAGAACTAGCTACAAGCCTCTCTTCTGACTAGCTTATGATATCAAGACTGCCAATTACCAGTCTTCATATGAACATTCTTTGTAATCAATCTTTAACTCAATCAAAAATTTTATTAATCTAAAGCCTATGTAAATACTGCTAATAACTAAACACCCTCCAAAATGGGCAGAACCACTTATATCACTGGTAACCTTAATCTCAGTTTTAGAGCATCAATAGATAGTAAATCATACCTAATATATACTTAATATTAACTGACTAGTTTAATCAATATAAAGCACTGTCAGGATTATCATAGTGCTAAATGTAATATATTGTGCTTACATGTGTACATGGTCCTCTAATTGGATCAGTAGTCTCTTCCATGTTCTGTTTTTGTATTTCATTTCTTGAAAGAGAACATTCCATCCCTTCAAATTCATATAATATTGAATATATCATGAAAAATGACTGAGCCCATGAAATCTAATCGGAGGGTAAAGAAACAATGCATGGAATAAGCCTGTACTCCCAGTTTTTTTCTCTCTTTCTCTTAGCATGAGCCTTCAACTTGGGACCACAGCCATGACATTTCTATCCTCTGCTGGAAAATGAACCAAACCAATGACCAGCAAAAGGTCACAAAGAGAGTATTTCTACACTGACATATGTAAGATTGTGTTGAGAGAAAAGATAATATTAAATAAAATGTTTGAAATCTAAAACCCCTACCAGACCACTGACACAATTGACTAATGACTGCAATGGCAACAGTCATTGTAGATAACTACATAAACAGTAAATATTCTTGACTATATGTAATGTATCAGTTGAATGACAATCCCAAAGTTCCCTATCTACATTGACAATCCAAAGACACCAATGTAAAATAGAGCAAAAAATGTAACCAATAAAAAATCGTTAATCAAATAAATAAGATAAATACCACTATTCTAGTAAAAGTTTAATGGCACAAGAGCTGTGTGTAATATTCAATTTGAATCATTCTTCTTCATGGTTTATCTGGCGATATATACATATGAACATCATACGAAAAGGATAACTAACCAGTAAAAAGTAGGAATTTGAAATATAAATGAATGCATGATCCACATCAAGAACTTTGGATATCTTTAAACTGCTGGAAGATTAACTTATGTAGGTCGTTCCATATTTAATTTGACCAATCTTATTTCTCTGACCTACTATTTTTTCTTCTAATTACAATACATTTTTACATTTGCTTGTATGTTTTTTTAAAACAGTATGGGAATTCACATTACTGGAAATAAAAGTTACCTCCTCTCCAAAAATCATCTTTCTGTTTCAATATAGCTTTTTAAACAGATCAATTAAAGTACAAGTAATAATAAGACCTCCATTACATATGAAGATTGTCTGGTTCTGTCATTTATTATGCTACTTTTTTATCAAACCACTGAAAAAAGAAAGAAAGAAAGAAAGAAAAAATTCTTTCCAGTTCTTATTTCAATCATAACTTTGTAAACAGTGTTGTAGGTGGGTCTTATATATCTCTTGTTTAAGAATAAGGTTTACCAATTCATATTCAATCATTGCTATTATTGTTCCACAGCTTTAGTCATATTTCAGTCAAGTGCTGCCTAATGACCATTTTTCCGCAGGCAACTTTTCATTCATTTAGCTTAAGTGTTAGAAAGCTGTACATAATTCCTCAATATTATACTTAATACGTTTATAAGTGAGAATTTGCAATACATAATTCTACACTAATAAAAATGGTAATTAGGATTCATGCAGGTAAAGGAATTACTGATGAAAATTTTATGAAGACATTACAAGATTTTTCATTTGGTATCATATACCAATATTATGAATATTTACAGAGTAGTGCAAGTAAAATGGAAGATGAAGAGACTTAATAGTAAGTAATGAAGAAAGTAGCATTCATTATATCTACATTTATCATGATGATAGTTAAAGAAAACACGACATGATAAACCACGATAATACCAGTAATGATAAAAAAATGGTAATGCTACTGAGAATGATGACTACAATGGTGTAATGAAGAAATATTGACCAAGAAAATATCAACAGTAATATTCGTAGTGGTAGTAATATTTATGAAGATGATAATTATGGTAATCACAAATCTTTTCAAGATTTGTTACATGTTAGGCCTTACTTATACACAGATTTTATGGATGATTATATACACATATAATGCAAGCTGTAGTATCTATCACTCTCTGTACATATGACACATATGTATCAAGTTTTGCAATCATTTTAACTAGTTATCTTATGAGCACATCTAAAACAGCTGCCGTTTATCTTTTAGTATCATGAGTAATGCACTTGGGAACTTTTTTATAATGCATGTGCAAGCTTATTAAATATTACTATCATATCAAATGTGTGAATTCCATACTGTTAATGACCCATTTCCATCTAAAAAATCACCTTACAAGAGATTTATTCACTTATACATTCAGTGCTGCCTGCATAATGCATATCAACATTAGTTCTGAATGAGGTTTATAAAATCCTCACATTTCATAGTTCCTATGCAGCACATAAGTCTATCTGATTTCATGACTATTATATGATGATAGCAAATATAAAGCACCTTTCTAATCAGTATCATATTATCAATCTATATCATGCTTGATTTTCCTTAATACATTATCATCTTTAACGGTACATATACACATCTGATTTTATTTTCATATTTCAAAATTCAGTGCCACAATTTATCACAACCACATTCCGTCAAGTGATATTGTACTGCAACTTGAGTATTCAATACCAATGTCCTCTTAATAATAAGTCATCACTTTCAGCTTCTTCTTCCATCTCAGATCCTGCCTAGCTTATGCAGCGACCAGGAGCGAAACAGTGACCGCCTTCTTGAGGAGGGGGGAGCCTCACCTCCGTGGTTGGCTCGGAGATTAATGGAAGCTCCCCCTTGCAGGTTGACCCAGGTCTCTACGCTGCCTTCCACTCCAGGCTCTGTAATAAAGATTGTAATAATAGTTGCCTTCTGATTCTTATCTCTATAGTTATCTGTATTGTTATCAACATCTTAATACAAAATAGACATTGTATAACAAAGTATACAAACTCAGTACCATAAGTTGATATACAATTACAATTTTCTTAAATCTACATTAATATAGTCTTCATTTAAATTAACTTTTTTCTAATTGATAAAAATATATATTATGGTAGAGAAAAAACAAAAGATAGTTATTCAAAGCTCCACAGACAATGACATCCTTGTCAAGCTAAGAAATTCACTGACTAACCTGTAAAAAGATCTCCAAGAACAACATTTGCTGAATTAAGAAGTTCCCTGGACCCAGTGCGAATCTCCAAAACCAAGACAGCTCTTCTGGTAGCTTCACCTTCTATAATCCATTCACAATCAAAGGTGGGTGAAGGGGAGGCAGGCACCAGGCGAGACCGACCCACAGTCTTAGTAATTTTGTTACTACTGCTGCTGCTGCTACTGGTGCTTTTTTCTTCGCTGTTAAAAAATAAGAAGGCATTATTATAATTTTTTTTTCTTTAATAATAAAAATAATTTACTTATGTAAATAATTTACTGGTTATCAGGTGTGTGAAAGAAAAAAAATTGTACTGGGTAGACTACTTTTGTCATGATCATGCTTTTGCACAAGGCAGATCTTAAGTTGCAAGGTAAATCTTGGCACAATTTTTGTAATATACATCTTAAAGGCTTACATAACATTATCTGTGGATCCCAAAACATGTACATAAAATAAATCCTCATTTTAATCCCATCATATTGTTATAAAAGGGGTAATTTACACAAGTCTTGTTAACTTCAAACATAAAAAATCAAATGATAAACAGTTCCCTATGGCAGACTGTACATTTAAGCAATGCATAGCCTACCTGGGAAAACATCTACAAAATTTCCTAAAATTAATATGCATGAGAAAGTGCATAACACTGACACCAAAGAACACAGAGCTTTAACTAGTTTTCCAGATACCTGTAATATCTGAGAAATATGGACTAAATTTTCAAAAACATTGAATCAATTCTATGCTCACCTGACCATAGTTTGCATCCTGTTTGTTTAAAGGAAACTGAATTTAAAATGCTGTTGTTTTACCACATCTACTATATCTTTTTTCTACAAAATGCATTTGTGTTTGTCCTACTTTTCCTAAGAAAAAAAAATCATATATCCAGAAGAAAAGAATCTTTTCATACTAGAAGCTTCCTCACATCATTCTTTTTCCCCTTACTAACATCTTACATGTTTTTTTACATGTCTCCATGTCTTCTTACCTGGTCACCAACAGCTTTTCTTCTGATTTTTATTCTTATTTACCATGATTGTTTAAAGGCAAATACCAACATTTCTTTGCTTTAAATAATGATAATGCCATTATGAGAAAATGAAACAGATTTTAAAACTGAAATCTAAGGGACAGTGCTGGTTTGCCATCCTTAATTGTATTAGTGTTACCTCATTTTCAAGCATGTATCAAACTACTGTTATTCAATCTGGTAAATTAATTTCAGCATTAAAAATCAACCATGCATTAAAAATAAATAAATAAATAAATGCAATAAAAAAAATAAATCAATAACTACAGTACCTCACACGGACACGCAGGAACAGTTGCAAGCCAGAGCGAGGTATGTGAAGGCCCTGTACCTGCCCTGCTATACCACGTACGTTGAGAAACACACCTGGCCGCTGTGACAGACTGTTCGTTACCCCTACTTTCGTAGACGACGTAGCTAGAAACATGGAATACTGTTTAGGCAGGCTGGTACTAAGAATATGACATTTTTAGCTGAAGTAATGAGTGTGTGCTGACATGATAATATTCATGTTCCAAAAGACTTTGATAAGAGATAATATGCTGAGATTGGCTTAATATACACTGAGCTGAAATATGGGGAGATATGATGAATAGCACCTGTTCAGGGGCTCATTA